AACAGACCTCCAGAGAAACAGCTGCTCCACCTGCCACATCTGCACAATGAGACACTGAAATACGCAACTCTGGATAAGAACCAACCCTAAAGATGAAACATTTATTTGGATTAACATCTTTGCATCAAGAGGGGAGAGGAGATTAGTCAAGGAATAGGGTAGTCAGGCCCCTGTTCCTTGCAAAGCCCCTTGCATTTTCCACACACAACATTAAAGCCAGAGCTCCCCAGTGAGAACAGACTGAAGACCCAACCCACTCCTCCTGAGTCCGGAAAGGGAGTCTCTGGGCTTTGATTCAAGAGCAGCTTCCCAGGGAAGCTAGGAAGGATGTTTTTGTTATGTACCTTTCAAAACAGACACTCAAGCACCTCCCGGGAAACATCGACTCAGTGCTCAAGGATCTCCTTCTGAAAGTGCAAATTTCATCCTCGCAGGCTACAGCAGAGGCCAGGCATTGTTTAGGTATCCTCGCTCTGCTTTCAGGATGAGGAAGGGCCGTGACACCTGGCATCTGCTTCCCCAGGAGATCTGCTCCCTGCCTCCACTGGACTGAGCCTGTCACCTCCCAGTGTACCAGCCACTTGAAAACTCCTGGACAGGAAAGGTTCCTATTGCTGGAACAGATACATATTTTTTAATGTTGCAATAAGTATCTCTTCCAGGCCAAGGTTTTAGAAATTGGTTGGCCCGTTCCAATTTGGACAAAGCTGAGAGGCTGTCTCAAGGGTCTTGATACAATTTAAGGTCTTCTGTAACTTACGGGATTTATATTTTCAGCAACACGATTTTCTTTTGTTTCCTGCACCTGAAATTAGTTTTTACTTCCATCTGAGAATCATAAAAGCTTCAGAACATTAAAAAGGCTATCGCTTTACACAAAACAAAATATGAGAAGCTAAATTAGAATCCAGTTCCGAGGTCAGCCACAGGGACAGGTGGTTGTGGATAGGATCCAGGCCCCACAGGTTGATCAGTATCCCTGGGAGCTGTCGCCGCAGTAAATTGTTTTAAATAAGTTTTTTTTTTTCTTCTTTTTTAAACCAAGTCCATCAAGTGACACAAACTCAAGCTGATTAAAGCCTGCTGCCCTCGGACTGATCTTTGCGAGGGAACATTCGGCGTGGAGACGGGAAACAACGCAATCTATATCTTCGGGCTGCCTCCAGACCCTCCACAAATTCTGCTTCGGCGATGGCTTCATTTTCTCTTTCTCTTGTTGCTGCTCCTTCGAAAGAGATGTCTGCAGCAGCCTCATCACTAGGCACAGTGAGCTCTTCTTCACATTTTAGTGTCCTGGACAGGGGTGTTATCCTGTGAACACAGGAGGAAAGGATGAGTTAGGAAGAGAGTGGGGGAAATCCTGACGCTCAACAGACCTCCTTGGTGATACCAGATCCAGCAAGAATTGTAACACTAGCAGTAGTAATGGTAATAATAATGCTGTGTGCTTGACGGAGGTTTCTACGAGCATCAAATCATGTATTCCTCACAAAAGCAAGACGAGTTAGGTACTTCTGTTAGTGCTGTTCTGCGGATGGGGCAATTAAGGCACAGAAAGGTCAAGTGACTTCCCCTAGGTCACACAGCTAGGAAGTAACAGAGTCAGGATTTAAAACCAGGGACCAGAGCTTGAGCCCTCAACTATTAGGTGACATTGCCTATTCCTTGATGCCTGGCTTCCCATGCCCTTCCTGCCCTAGCTTCTTACTTACTAATTCATTCCCACTCAATTTCATCTTCCTGTTATACTGCTCAAGAAACTTTGGTGACATAACGGTGGAAAAAGAACACAAAGAATCAAAAATAGAAGGTGGATACTTTAGCAAAAGGACAGGAAAATAGCTATTTGTTCAACATTCAACCCAAAGTATGACTTTTAGCTCCTTCTGGGCTGGGGCTGCACCAGGCCTTACCACCTTGGGTTCTCTGGCTGGGAAACAGAGACATTTACGAATGTGTCCACAGCATCAGGTGGCACGTGCTCTGGGCCACCGGAACGTGCTGTACTGAGTGTGAGGAGGTACTTGAGTCACTGCGGGTGTTCCTCACCGGAGCAGTCGGGGAAGGCCTCTGGAAGACAGAGACTTCCAGGCCGCAGTGAGTGCAATCTCAGTCGGGGGTGCGGGCATTTCTGGTGGAGGGGACAGCACGACGGGTGGGACGATGCGTTGCCTCTTGTGGAATGGTGGGTCATGGAGGCTGGCTGGAGGCATGGGCCCCATGATGGGGGAGAGGGAAAGGCTGGGAGAAAGTTCAGCATGGGGAGGAGGGTGAACTCGATTCTCCAATGAGTGGTATCAAAGGGTTTGGGGTAGGAGAGTAGGCGCCGAGATGCCATTTTCAGCAAGATGAATTTGGTGCTAATGTACAGGGTGGGTCTGGAGACCAGGAATTCCTTGAGGAGCGAGTCGTGATTGTAGAGATAAGGAAGGGGTCAGAGCAGTGGAGACGGGGCAAACCCCCTAAGACCTGGAGGCTGATTAGGCAGGGAGGTGGAAGAAGCGTGAGCACCTCGTTAGCAGAAATGGGTGAGTATAACAAAGGAATGTGGGGTTTCAGTTGAATACAAGTGAAGAAACAGAGCAAGTAGGACGAGTTTGGTTTTGAGTATGATTGACTGGCAGGTGTCCAAGCGCAGAGGTCGGTTGGTGTGTGGTTGGGACCCGGGCCAGGCTGGTGCTAAGCAGTCAGGAGGGGCCCAGTGGCTGATGGTGAGGGCCAACCTTAGGGATCATTCACAAAATATGACGGCTGGAGCGTGGTAGTGGGGGCCAGAGGAGACTGCCAAGGTGAAATGTGGCGGTTCTTCTTGAGGAGACAGGGAGGGAGGGAGGGAGGGAGGGAGGGGAGTTGGCGGGGCGGCCCACCAGACAGAGACTACGGTGGCAGGTGGCCTCGGGGGCAGGGCTGACACCTCACCGAGGTGAGAATGCCCACTCTTCGGTGGCAGGCAAGCAGGGAAGCGCTTTTGAGCTTCACATCAGAGAGAAGCGTGAGATCACAAGGAGAAACAGAGGAGGGAGACAGCACTGGGTGTGTGGGGGAGGGACGGACTCGGGGGATTTTTCTTTAGGACTGGAGAGAACTGAGCAAGGTCTACAGGCAGAAGGGGGTGAGCTAGTGCGGAGCTAGAAACTTGGAAAGAGCACCTGGATGGATGGGAAATTCTTAGTGTGACCCCTCACTTAAAATGCAGACACACTCCACAAATGTCCTGTAAAAATGTCCAGAAAATGGCAGTTGGGGGAAGCCAGATCACAGCCGATGTGGGTTTGTCTTGTCAAGAAGGGACCTGTCCTCGGACTCGTACTTTGAGAGGACTAGGCTGCCCTTCCTTTCAGTCACATAGGAGGTGAGGTCATTTGCAGGGCCCGTGGGGATGAGGGAGGAGTGACTGAGGAAGGTAGGTGAAAACAGGCTGATAGAATGCAGTGAGCGAGCTTCCAGGCAGCGGGGGACGATGGATGTGGCTCAGCCCCATTGGTGAGAGGTCATAAGGGGTCCGGGCTGCTTGGCAAAGAATGTGGAGTGAGAGTGGCTGAGCTTTGTGGATTGATCCAGAAAGACAGAGCAGGCCAGTGGGGAGGGCAGTTCGGTCCAGAAGCTAAGGGAGGGGCTGAAGAGGGAAAGCGGGGGAGTATGGTCCCAAGAGAAGTGAGAAGAGAAGGCCAAGAACTGAGGCTCAAGAGAGCCTCAGCTCATCAGCTGAGGGAGAAAGACATTTCAAATCAAATATTGAGAAATCAAGGAGAATGCCTTGGACGAGCAATGGAACCAGGCGGTTAGGAAGTCAGGGGTTACTGTCGGTCCTACAAGGTCTTTTTTTTTTTTTTTTTAAAGATTTTAGTTATTTATTTGAGAGAAAGAGAATGAGAGATACAGAGCACGAGAAGGAAGAGGGCCAGCCCGATGTGGGACTCGATCCCGGGGCTCCAGGATCATGACCTGAGCCGAAAGCAGTCACTTAACCAACTGAGCCACCCAGGGGCTCGGTCCTACAAGGTCTTGAATGTGATGTCAAACATCTTGAATGCCGTGGCTTGGGGAAGTTTATCTTTGGCATACCTGAGTGCCCTACACAGTACTGGAAACATAGCGAGTGCTGGAGAAACACTTGTTTGGTTTATTTACAGTATGGGAGCTGGATCCTAGTCAGTGCCCTCTCTCCAGGGATAAACAGAATCCCAAGTGTTGGGATATGATATATCCAGCCTGTTCCGTGACTGAAATTCCCAGAATGGCTCATTCCTTAAGCACAAAACGTTGAAATACTCGTGAGGGGCTATGCGCTAGGAGTTAACCCTTTCTAGCGCTTTCACATGGCTGATAACCTGGGGCCTCGTCAGGAGCCTTGCCCTGCTCTCTTGAAGAAGGGACGGCCCCATCCTCTGTGCTTCATAGAGCATAGCAAGTTCCTGGGAAGAATTACATTTCTTCTACTGCCTTGTCATTATTTGTGTTTTTTGTTCATCCGTTTATTTGTCCTTACTTACTATTTGTTTATGCCTCTGTCCTTTTCATCTTGGAACCCCCAGTAAGTCCCATAGTACCATGGGTAACTGCTGTTTGGTAAATGTCGAGCGGGACTCCAATTAGTTTCTCTGATCAATGTATTTCTACCAAAGAACCAGATGGGGATTAGATCAGGGGGCTGCGAAGCTGTCTGCTGCCTCTGCCGGACCCACGAAAGGCCTGGGACAGGCATGGGGTATGCAGGGAAGCCGAGACCCAAGCAGCCCCCTTCACCATCACTGCACCGGTGAATCCTTTTGCACCACTGCCTGAGGCATCTTGCTTCTAACCTTGACCGAGCCTGACAAGGACAAGAGAGGACGGGAGGCAACGCCCCTCCCAGATTGAATAAATGATGCCCATGCGCAGAGAGGTGCTGTGTGGTGTCCCTGATTCTGAAGCCTTCAGCTGGTGTCCATCGTGTCAACATTGAGCTCTGTGACCTTGGACAACTCGTGTTCCCCTTTGGAGCCTCAGGTCCTTCCTCTCTAACACCAGGGGTTTGGGCTAAGGGTGTCAGGATTTTGTGTCTCCGTGATGGAGAAGGAGACGGAAAGCGTGGAGAGGTGGTGGGTGGACATCCTCAGTGCCTCCTTGGGCTTCCTGTTCGGAAGAAGAGCACTTGTGAGGGTGTGGGCATCTTGCTCCCTGGCCAGGGCTCTGCCAGGCTGGGAATATAGAGGTGGCTCAAGAGGTTTTGGGGGAGCCTATTCCAAAGCTCCTCTAGTTTCTGCAGGAGACCTTTCTGAAGCTTTGCAACCAAGGTGACTCCTTAACGCCTCAGGACCAGTGCTGTGGGAAGTTCTCCTGGCGAGACGGGCACCTCCCAGCCTGAAGCTAAGGTGGAGCCGCCCCTGGCAGGTGACCACGTGGACTCGGTGGCTTCATCCTCAAAAAGAAGGGAGGATCTGAGGCAAGTGTTTGCCTTCTGGACATCTGGTGAAGAGCTCCAGGGCTCCTACCTCCGTTTGCTGCCTCTGGGTTGGACATCTGGTGAAGAGCTCCAGGCTGATGGGATCAGATCGCTCATTTTGAATGGATGGTGCTGAAGAAATGTGAAGCATCTTTGCTTAACAGCCCACCCAGAGGAGTCTCACCCATACCTCAGGTGTCTTTGGGATTCCTACTACTTTCTTCTCCCCAGTCTAGTTTGAGCGGGAATAATGTGAGGGCCCTCTCCGAACACATCAACCCTTCTTATAACTCTAGTTGTATCATTAGAGGTTGTTTCCTTTGGGTCAAGCAATTTTCTCTCCTCTTTTAAAAATTCACTCATTCACTCAACAAATATATTTTTTAAGAACTACAGTGTTCCAGGCTCAGTGGTAGGGGCTGGGGATGCAGTGAAGGAAAAAGAGTAGAGGGAGATGATAATAAAATAAATAAGAGCATGTGAAATAGTGATATGCACCATGATGGCAGAGTAGAATAGTGCCAGAGAGTGACCGGGGTGGTCCAGACAGGCCGAAGGGGCATCTGAAGGGTGGGTGAGAAGGAGCCGTGTGAGGGTCAGGGGAGGTGTCTCGGGGGCGGGGGGGGGGGGAACAGCAGGACAGCGCTCTGAGCAGGGAGTGATCTTGGTATATTTGAAGAACAAAATAACCATTGGCATGGCTAAAGCACAGTGAGGGGAAAGGTCAGGGACAACTGGGCAACAGCCTCGCGAAGGGTTTGGATTTGATTTTGAGTGCACTGGGAAGCCGTGGGACGTGGGGTGGGGAGGCACAGGGGGTGGCATACCCCCCAAAGATACGTCCGATCCTAACCCCCAGTACCTGCGAATGTGACCTTATTTGGAACTGGCATCTTTGCAGATGTAATTAAAGATCTCAAGATGAGACGATTCTGGATTTAGAGTGGGTCCCACCTCCAATGACTGGTGGCCTCATGAGAGAAAGGAGAGCAGTTTTGAGACACACAGAGCCAGGGAAAGACCATATGCGAAGACAGAGGCTGGGTCTACAACTCAGGGAGTGCCAAGGACTGCCGACCACCAGCAGGACCTGGAAGAGGCCAGGAAGGATTCCGGGGGTTGGTAGCAGCCGTCAGAAGTCAGGGGACGGGCATGGGACAGATTTTCCCTCAGAGCCTCTAGAGGGAACCCACCCTGCCAACACCTTGCTTTTGGAGGATTTCTGACCTCCAGAATTGTGAGAAAATACATTTCTGTGGTTTTAAGCCACCAAGTCTGCAGTAATTTGTTATGGCAGCCCTAGGAAGCTAACATAGGAGGTGAGTGACTTTAGCAGTGAGTAGATGATCTAAACACAGACAGACAGACACACACACACACCCCCACACCCACACCTCTTTGGTTGCTATACAGAAATGAACTATATAGGCAGAAAATGAGGAAGCAGGAAGCCTGGTAAGAGGGTGATGTAGTAGGAAGCTGATGGCCACCTGAGGGAAGGAATGAGTGAGTGAATGTACTGAATGAATGTTCTAATGGAGGGGGGGAAGTGAAGCACTGGGGGGTGACTCTGTTGATGAGATTGTCAGGTTTGGGGGTGGAGGGTAGGACACTGAGCTTCTCTCGTGGAGCTGCTGAGTCTCAGCAAGGCATTCTGCTCCGGAACACAAGTAGGTGAGTTCAAGAGGGCTTCCTGGGAATGGTGGGGGTGGGGGTGGGGGGGCTGCTGAAGGGCCAGGAAGTGGGGGTGGGCAGGGACTGAGGTACCCCTTCCTCTGTGCACTTGCTGTCCAACACAAAGCTTCCTCCTCAGATGGCCCCACTCAAATGCCATCTTCACCCTGAAGCTTTTCTAACTTCCTCCCACACGCCACACGCCACACGCCACACACACACACGCACGCACGCACGCTGTTTCTCCCTCGCTTGTGCTTTGGGCTTCCCCCGGAGAACCCCCTGCCCACGGCCACACTCCGCCTTCCTCAGTGTGCCCTAAGGAGCTGCTGGTCTCCCATGCTAGCCTGAGTTGATGGAAAGGTGCACCCCCTTTCATCTCTGAGCCCCCCAGCAGTGAGCCGAGCCCAGAGCCCTGCCTCCTGGGCCTTCAGTAGCTGTGTGCGGGCCTCAGTCACTGAGCCGTGCCTGGTCTCCATACATACCCAGAGCACCCCAGAACTCCCGAGGGGGCAGGAAGGCGGACAGAGCCCAGGGCACGCTTCCCTTTCTTGTGTCTCTGTCCCCTCACCGTCTGCAACAGGGCCTTTGTTTCTGCATATTTGCGCTGATTTGTGAGGAAGTATAAGCAGACATGCTCTGGCCCTGGCCTCCCCAGGTGAACGTGCAGGCCACTTACCTCGGTCTTGGGGGCCTCATGGTGGGGGTTGCAGCCAGGCTCCAGAACGGCCCCTTCCTCACCTTTGCCCTGCTCTGGGGTGCGGGGGCCCTCCACCCCTTCAGGGGGGCTTGGTGAGGCCTCCCCCACTGCTCCGTCCACCGGCCCCTTGGGGTCTTGGTTCCTTTGTCTGGCCTCCTCCTCTTCATTTCCTGCTCTCTCCACCTTCACCTCCTCAGACTTTGCTGTCTCTTTTCCAGCGGCTTTTTCTTCTCTGGGGCTCCTACCTCCGTTTGCTGCCTCTGGGTTGGAGGCTTGGGCTGGTTGGACAGCCTCCCCCGTGGCTGGATGTGGGCTGGCCTCCTCTTCAGAGCCCCCCACAGCCTTGTGGGGATGCTGGGCTTCATCCACGGCCCTGCCCTTCTCCTCCTGCTTCTCCGTCCTGCTGGACGTCCTCCTCAGAGGAGGCTTCTCCTGAGACCCCAGCTGCCGCCCCACTTCCTCCCCCACCGGCCCCTCGCCGGGGGGAGGGGAAGCCAGGGCCTTGCTCTTGGACGGGAACACCTCATCCCCATTCTCTTCCTTGGCACCATTCTCCTGGGATGACTCGGGGGCCCTGAAATCTCCCAGGTCCCCACAGTCCGACTGAGACCTTCGGAATCGTCTGGAGGGAGGGCGCCTTTTTATCGAGCCCTTCGTCCGCACCTGGAAGAACGTGTTAAGAGAAATTATCCACAACCTGTGAAAAAGGCCAAGAAGGGGACTGCATGTCTTTCGATGTCAGTCTAAAGCACTGCTTCGTCAGGCAGCCTTTAAGGGTCATTTGATTTTCCAGCAGAACAGACCCCTGTGTGCTATGTGAAGTCACAGGGTAGCCAGTAGGTTTTTGCCTCGTGAAGACGCAAATGCTTTCCATCCACTAAAAATGATAACCTACCTATACCTTTATTATCCTGTAAAACATTAATCCGTTTGGTGTCTAATTTAGCAATTTAATTCTAACATTTGTTTTGTCGGTTGCCTATAAATAACGGGCTCTTTGAATGTTCTTTGAATGAACTTTACCATATTATAGGTTTCTTCACAAATCCGACAAGATGAATAAGATCTCTCTCTATTTTATATAAGAGTCATGTTTTAACATTTAGGACATTTTACTTTGACAAAAGTGAACCCAACAGACAAGATGGTTAGGGGCCTGCAGATGGCCTGGCCTTGCTCAGGGACCTCATGGGGACAGAGCCGGACAGCAGGTGACCAGCTCCATCCCCTTCCCTAGCCTGACCCTCCCAGCCCTCCGCAGAGCTGGCTAATCCCCGGTAAAGCTGCACAGACAGACACCTTCACTTTCCTGGGCTCAGGTCCACCATGAGCAGAAGCCATGCCTTAGGAGCCTCCAGCAGAGCCGCTCAAAATCATCTCCTATCTGGGAAGTGTGTGAATCTCAGGATCACTCGGGCCTCATCTAGGCCCACTGGACTTTGCCAGAAGTGCAATGGAAATGTTTATTTGGATGTCGTACTTTACTCAAGTGGTGTGTCCTTTAAAATTTTAAATGTAGATGAAATCTTATTTCATAAACCTTACATCTTATTTTTGTAAGTCTTATTTTCCCATTGGCTTATGTTTTGGTATTTGTCAATCCTAGTTCCTTTCAGAAATTTGAAGTCAATACTTGGTTTATAAGGGCTTCCCAGGCTCTTTCCTGAGACCATGGTGTGGCCAGCCCTGCAGGCTATCAAGGACTGGCCCTGGCCTCACAGTCAGCAGGGTTCAGGAATACACCCTGCTGCCCTAAAGCACTCCCCTCTACCCCGGACCCCATTACAGACAGGCGGCCCCTCCTCCCTCCCAGCCCCCCTCCCTAGTGAGCATCCTGTGAAGAAAGGAGGCTCTACCCTGGCTTCCTCTCTGCTGTCAGGGGTCTCTCCATTACCCTGAGCTGGAGGATCTCCGCCCTATCCCCAGCCAGCAGATTCAAGACTTAGCATCAGTTTGTTTCCCTGGATTCTACCTGTTTCTACACATTTGACCTTCTCCCCCATGGATTTTCTGGAATGGCCCAGAAGACCCCACTCTTTCCATCCGTTACTTTAAAGTTCTATCCATTTGCCATTCCCTGGCATTGGATCCCTTTATGTTGGCCCTTGCCGGGCACCGGCCCAGATTTGCCGGGCACCTGCTTGGACAGTACTGGACCGTATCTCTGATTCTTACTGTGTGTAGTAGGGCTGAGGATCTGACGAAAGAAAGCACGCTCAGGGCATCTACAGAAAGGGATCTTACATACATCTTTTTGCAAAGGGAACAGTTTGGCTAGTCTTTAAATGGGGCAAGCTGCGGTAAGAATGATCTGAACCCATACTGGGGCACTTAAAAGTATTTACATCAAGCCAGAGCAGTGTGGTTTGGAGTCCTAATGACCCTGCCCACCCTCTGTGTGAATCACTGATCAGGCCTTCAGATTTTGTTTTCAGTGTTTGACACAACTATCTGTGCGGCTTGGATCCGTCCTGAATTCTCAGCCCTCTCTCCACGAAGGATAGAGCGCTCCATCCCCCAGGTGTGCCTTCAGGGTGAGGGCACAGCTCTGGGAGAGGGGATGAGAGAGGCAGGCTAGGGAGAGGGGCCATCTCAGGCACAGAGAAGTTTCCTTTCTGTTGAGAACCAACTCTGACGGCAGCTCACATGTGTCCTCCCTTCCCCAGGACAGCATCACGGCAGAGATGATTCAGGACTGCCCAGTGCCTGCATTTCCACCAACACGCCGCAGGGCTTTGGACCCAGACATTACCTTATTGTAACAGGGCAGATGGCTCCCTTCAGGAGGCTGGTCAAAGCTAACTGGCACCTCCTCTGGCTCCTGACACCGCACGCCAGGGCTGCTGGGGGTGGAAGGTGGGCTCTGGAATGGTGACACCGCAGCCTTAAGTCCAGGACTCTTGGGTGAGGCCCCAGGTAGCAGGGCCGCTGGATCGAAAGCTAAATTGGCCTGCCAAGAAAAGGGGAGGCATTTCAAGTTGGGGTGCGGGACCCTGAGAGTTTCTGCTTGAGCTTGTTGGGTATGTGGCCTGGAACTGGTTGGGGCCAGGTAACCAGGTAACGTGAGGCTTTCTGTGTCACTTCCTAACCAAGTATCCATTGTCGTATCATGTCCTGGTCTTGGAGGCACTGTCTCTTGCCACCACCCGCTCATACCCCACCCCCACCCCCCGCCCTCCAGAGCTGGACAAGACTGAGTCATTGGTAAGAATTAAAAATATAGGGATGCCTGGGTGGCTCAGTAGTTAAGCTACTGCCTTCGGCTCGGGTCGTGATCCCAGGGTCCTGGCATCAAGCCCCGCATCGGGCTCCCGGCTCAGCGGGGAGTATGCTTCTCCTTCTGCCACTCCCCCTGCTTGTGTTCCCTCTCGCACTGTCTCTCTCTGTCAAATAAATAAATAAAATCTTAAAAAAAAAGAATTAAAAATATAAAAGCTACAGAGCCCGAGCCATGTTAAAAAAGCAGCATGTGATGAGTACCAAGGGGCAGGCTTGGTGACAGGGCTTCAGGGCTGGGCGTTAAAGGAGGTCTCCCTCCCCGCCCAAGTTCAAGCTGGAAAGTTCCCTCTGTAAGACTGCTTGCAAATAAAAATACATCTTGCTAGCCAGCAGAAAACTTGAGCTTTGAATTATGGACTACTCCAGGGAGGAAAAATCATACTTCATAACTCATCTAATAGAATATTTGGCTGAAAAGTCTAGCGGATGATGCATTTCTTAGTTCTTGTCTCCCTCTCCTCCCCTTCTCAAAAAGTAAGCTTCCTGTGGGATCTGGCCAAATTGTCATCCTGTTGCTGACATTCTTAATGAGATTGAATGATTAGCAATCACAGCCTTATTCTCAGTTGCTGTGCTTCCCAGAGAGGCTCCTTAATGATGGGGAAGGGAAGGGGAAGGAGACCAAGACTGGGGCAAAGAGCACGTGGGGACGAATTTCTGGCACTCGGATGAGGGCTGAGATGGACTGCAGGGAGGCAAAGGTGAGGGTCCTGGGCTGCACCCCTGGGCTGGCTACGAGAGGGGATGTGCACATCTGGATCCCTTTGGGGGGTCTCCCTAATGTACATGAGATCCCTGCAGCCTCCCAGCGTGACAGGCAGCCCCATTCCTTCCCTGCAGCTGGAGGGCAATCAGGGCTTTTCAGTAGGAATTCAACTTCTGGGGAGTCCCCTCCCACACTGCACAGGGTAGGGCTCACGGCCAGAAACCAGAGATGCTTTTCTTAACCCCAGATCAGGCTGGGATCCAAATCCCTGGGCTCTCCCAGAGGTGGAACTGCAAAAGCTGTGGCTGCTTGTCTGGACACACCCCTAATAACGGCTTTGGAGCAAAGCTGATGAGCTGGTTTTCTTAGCTGGGCCCAGATGGGAGGATATGGTGCACAAGAGCCTTGCTGTTCTCCCGGGTGGCTGCACAGAGACCGCAGTGAAAGCCGGGGCAGCCTCCACAGGCCCCACCCAGACCTATGCCAACCCTTCTCTGTGCTTTAGCTCACGCTGGTCCCACATCAGGAGCACCTTCCTCCTTCCTTTCCAGCCACGCAGCCTGGAGGACCGATTCAGGGTCTAGGCGTTTCATAAAGCATGCATTAACTACTCCTGTCCACTCTACTCTACCCTTGCTCTAAAATTCCTGAGCAGTGGTTCTGACCTGGGGTGGGGGTGGGGGTGGGAGGCAGTCGTGTCCCTGGGAGACATTTGGTAATGCCTAGAGATGTTTCCCATTGTCACAGCTTGTTGGAGAGTGCTGCCGGCATCTAGTGGGTAGGGACCAAGGATGCTGCTAAGCATCTTGCAATGCACAAGGCAGTGCCCTGCCACAAAATTATCCTGCCCCAATATTGCCCAGGTTGAGAAACCCCGATTTAGAGCGGTAGGAGTCAGGTGGTTACACACAATTTAGATCTCGGTATTTACTCTCTGAGAGTTTATGTCTTTTATTGTATCATGTGTGAAAATCTTGTCTCCTCCCAAAGACCGTGAGCTCAAGTTCAGTGCCACAAGGTTCATTTACACCCCCAGGAAAGCCAGCCAGTTGCGGGCACAGTGGTGAGGGCTCTGGGCTCACAAGGTGATAGGTAGAGAGGCAGGCTTTCCAAACAACAGATTTGGCCATATCAGTGCAACGCCTAGCCACTGAATTTCAGCCCTGTGTACGACTGAAACGGTTTGTAGGGGCTTTCGGGCCTAGGGCGAGAGGACTTGGCTAGTCCTGGAGTGTTTCTTGCACTCTAATGTCTTTTTCCAGACTCTTGGGACACTCCATTATCCACCAACCACCATTAGCTGTTGACCACATGAGCTCGTGCTGGATGGAATCTTTATATTAGCCCTTTGCCCCTGGATAGAGCTCCTCATCCTTCACAGCTGCTTATCAGAGATCAACTCTTCAGGTGACAGCAGGTGCTACCCCCAGGAGCCCCGAAGACATGCAAATGTTGGATAAGAGATGAGGTGGGGTCAGAGTACCATTTTGCACTTACCTGAATCTTCTCAATCAGAGGCGAGCTCTTCACCTTGATTTTAGGAGGATGGCTTGCATTGGGTGATGATTTCTATAGAGCAAATGGACCAAAACAACCAAATGAGCGAGGTGAAGGGAGGTGGCCTTCTGGCTGGAGTTCACAAGGCACAGGTGGAAGAAGAGGGGCAGAAGCTCGTGTCACTACTTTCCCACTTAGCTTCAGCTTCCCGCTTACCTCGTTTGGGCCTGGGCCAGCGTAGGCTCCCCTCCACCCCTCCCACATCCCGCAGTTGGCCAGACCACTTGAATCTATGAATCAGAGCAGGCAGGACAGACGTCTGAAATACAGGAGGCCTGTTCCTTCCCGTTCCAGGAAGGATGACTTCATGGTCATTACGAGAGGACAGACCATGTCTGAGGGCATGAGATTGTCATCTCACGCCCTTCAGCAAAGTGAGCCAACAACAGGAGGGAATTCCAAAGAGAAAGGGCGAAATGACCACGTGCTCTGGTTGCACAAATAAAATAAGAAACCATAGACCAAAGCTAAAACCTCACAGAGATACAACTGAAAACCTTCCCTTGAACTAATGGTATTTTGGAAAATCCCACCAATGTGTTATTTATAGATTATCATTCTCCCAACATTGACTATTCATTTTCAGTAAGCAGACATTTACTCTCTACTACATTCCGGGCATTGTGTTGGTTATGTGAAGATGAATATGATTTAGTCTCTGGCCTCTAAGAAGCGGTCAATGGCTAATACATACATAGAAAACCATACCTACATTCTGCTAGTTGGAGATATTTTTGTGATGAATGTATGTCAGGAATCTTGTCTGTAGTTAATTTTATCTAAAAAAAATGGATTCCTTGGGGGCACCTGGGTGGCCCAGTCGTTAAGCGTCTGCCTTCGGCTCAGGTCATGATCCCAGGGTCCTGCGATCGAGCCCCGCATGGGGCTCCCTGCTCGGCAGGAAGCCTGCTTCTCCCTCTCCCACTCCCCCTGCTTGTGTTCCCTCTCTCGCTGTGTCTCTCTCTGTCAAATAAATAAATAAAATCTTTAAAAAAATAAAAAATAAAATAAATAAAAAAATGGACTCCTTGTTTTGTGTACAATCCCTGTAACTTGAGTCTGGGTCCACAGATATATTGATCTCCACACGCAGGAGTGATAAGAGCAATGATGATGGTGATGGAGGTGACTTCCATGGGGTTTAGGAGAGGCCAAGGCAGAAAACGGACTTGTCTACAGTTTGGAGACCCTACATGTGTTTCCTGCCCCTGTGTCCTAGTGTACCTGAATCATAAAAAGAAGAGTAACACCCATCTCTTGGAGATATTCTGAGATATTTATTGAGCAAGATGATTGTATGTTAGTGATGGAAGGAGGAAGATTTACTCAATCAAACTCATTGTGGCCTTTTTAAGGCCCAACACTGAGGGAGAGGTGCTGGAGTGGTACAGTTTCCAGCTGGGACTTGGGCTTTGACAGGAGCCAGGTGGGTGCCCTGGCCTCAGCCTCCTAACCAAGACCCAGGCAGGTGGGTTAGAATAAAGATTCTAGGGGCACCTGGGTGGCTCAGTCGGTTAAGTGTCTGCCTTTGGCTCAGTTTATGATGCCAGGGTCCTGAGACTGAGCCCTGGGCTCTCTGCTCAGCGGGGATTCTGCTTCTCCCTCTGCCCTTTCTCCCCTGCTCATGCTCTCTCTCTCAAATAAATAATAAAATCTTTTTTAAAAAAAATGATTCTAAGGACTCCTCCAGCGTGAAGACACCTCCAGCCGCATGAGTTTACACTGTCAGACGTATTCCGAGAGCAGTCTTGCAAGGAGCCACGTGTCCCTGAGGAGTACGGCTTCCAGCCCCAAATCAGTTGTTCTTAATTTCTGTGCTTTACCGTGAAATTTCACAGGAGCCATTGTTTCTGAAGACACTGCTTTGGGAACGGCAGCAAGGATTCTGCTGACAAAGCTCACTTTATGTAATACCAGAAACTCTTCTCTTCCCCAAGCGACCACCACCTCCCGAAGAGAGGGGACATTCGATAACGCAGCCGCTTCGCTATAGGACAGCAATGGGAACCCAGCTAGGCTTCACGAAGTCCGTGCTGATTAGAATGGAGCCGCAGAGCGGGAAGGCTCCGCCGTAGCGGCTGGTGCAGTTCCTGGGCTTGGCAGCAGGGGGCAGCATTTCCTTTGCCATTTAACACAGGATCCAGGCCAGCGGCTGGGTCTAGCACCGTCCTGGGGGACGGAGGGGCGGGGCGGGGGGGCTGCCTCAAGCTCTGGATGTATGTATATACGTCTACGCATGACGTTCCTGTAATGCCTAGAAATTACGAAGCTGATCTTTCAGATGGGAGTGCTTTTCAGCCCTTTGGCAGACGGCTATACTAACTACTCTTGTGGTTGGGTCCTCCAGAGAGGATTCACCCCACGGTCTCAGGCCTGAGCAGGCCTGGGAAGGGCAGGGATGAACAAGGGGTGCAAAGACCCTTCCCTGCACCGAGGAGTCGCCTGCCTGGGGCCGTGCCCTGGAGGCCCCCCTCCGAGGCTTTGGGAATTAGGGCTCCTGCAGGCAGAAGCCTCTCTCCAGCCCAGCCAGACAAAGCTGGTGGTTCTTTTCATTTCTATGTGATTTCCAAGGTGACAAGAGCTCATCGATCCTGGAAGCAATGTCCTTCCTATGTGCACACAGCCTGCCACTCCAGGCAGAACTTTTTCTTCTAAAATCCACCCTCCTATTCATCTTGCCCTTGGCTCTTAGAGCCCGTTTCACTGCTGGGTGGTGCCTCATGGGATGAACCTGTAGATTGATTTCTCCCAGAGCCACTGAACTAAACTGACTCACTCTGCTTTTACTCCAGGGAATAAAACATCCCCATCCAGCCCCCGTCATCTGTCTGGTTAGTGTTCGTGTCCCCATTTCACAAATAAGGAAGCAGGCTCAGTGCAAGACGGGGGCTTCTCCAGGGCTGAGCCCGGGTCATCAGGGGGCAGCCTCACAGTAGGCTCCCAAGGGCCACGGCCTCAGCCTGCAGCCTGGCACTGACACCAAGCCCAAGGGCTGAAAGTCACAAGGAGAAGTTGACCCTCCGTAAAGAGAAGTTGTTGGAATGTATTTGGTCATAGCACTGGCTATTAACTCCACGAAGCCACAGAATCATAATGTTAGTGCTCAAAGAAATTCCAACAAAAACCTCAGTTTTTAAAAACTGTGTTTCTTGGGATTCCCATTCCAGGAGAAGACCCTTGTTCAGGGCCTGGGGGAGTAACCTCAGAGCAGTGGGGCTCTAGATGCCCCCATCCCACTTGACCAGCAGCAACGAATTTCCGCTTTCTCTGATGGGCTTCAGCCTGGAAGCCTTGGGTAGGAAAGGTTTGAAACTGTCGCTCTATTCCACACGTTCACTACCATTGATGCTCAAGGTCACTACCGTAAGTGCACAAGTTCACACAGGTATCTAGTGTCTATCTCCAGGTTGCTGGTCCCCAAAAAGAAAGGAGGAGAGAGGTAGCTGATGTGGGATTTGGGAACTGGGCTGTCTTTGGCTTCCTTGCTCTCTCTTGGGGTTGGTCTTCCAGGCTGGACGAGAGAACATGCAAGTTCATTTCTGGGGGACCGTGACGTGACCACGATGAAGGTTCATGGGCGGCTAGGAGGGGGCGCAGAGAAGTCACTCTTAGAGCTACCATGAGATAAATAAGGGTAGGTACCTACCCAGTCTGGGAATATGTTGCTGGCTAGGATCTGTGATACCAGAGCCTTTCTTTTGTTGGTAACCTTGGCTATTTATATGTGAGGGCAACGAGGCCTCTGTGTGCTCTGATTTTCTTCCAGTGATCCAAAACAATAGCTAGTCTTTACAAGGATAGCACCAAACCATGGTACTCTCTCTCAGGAGGCAATTCTGCCTTATGTAAGTGTGGCCTCTCTTTCCAGGTGCCTTCTGCCCAAGGAAGATCACAGAAGTCGGACCTGGAGTGAAACATAACCTTGGTGACTCCAGAACCTGGCGTGGTAATACTCTATGGCCCATTTGTTCTCTTTGTTGAAATTCTCCGGCTTGGAGAACAGTGCTCCAGTCCTAAACAAATCCTAAAGAAGGCTCCATGAGAAAGAGTGGAGAGGAAACTGGTGTCCAAAGTAAAGGATTCCAGAAGCATTAAGAAGAGGAGCTTCATCCCTGAATCTGAAAGGGAGAAATTCCCTGTGCAGGTTCCAAGGCCTAAATGTGTGCGTTTTGTGCCCTCTCCTCTAGAAGGAGAAAGCAGATCCATAACCAGCACCCCCCCAGCTCTGACATAGCACTTACCTCCTCACCGTTCTGGCCCAGCTCTACCTTGGGGGGGAACAGAGGGAGGGAGCAGGGCGGTTTCCTTCTGGTCGGTTTACAGGCTGGTGTCTAGAGGGAGGGGGACAGACAGACACACAGAGAGAAAAAGAGAGAGAGAGCTAATCAGGCAACAGGGAGGAAGAAGAGTAAGTGGAAGCTGGTTTTAGGAATGTTCAGGGATGTTCAGAGAGAAAAGATGGAGGGAGGGGTGACGTGTCTTTAAGATGGACCCATTAGCCCTATGCATTAATTCTATTCCGCTGTCCACCCCTTCTGACTTCCAGGCTCCTGGCTCCTCGCCCGGTTCTTTTCTGCTGGAACATCCTCTCTGACTTGAGATTCACTGGCCTGAAACAACATCTCAAAATGACACCTGCTTCCAGCTTCCAAGCATTGCTGGCACCTTAGGTCAACACTCTCTTCTTCACCCTTTACGACATTGCGTACTCTAGAAATTAAAGACCGATTTTTCAGATGGGAAAACCAAAGCACAAAGTACTGCACCTAAAAAAGCCTGATGGCTGCACCCCTGTTCGCCCCAAGGGGACCATCGCCCACCTTGGGGTGCAGTCTCCTTCCTGTCACTCCTCCTGAGCTCTGCATACTGTGTGACTTGGGAAAATCTAGGCCAAATCTCTCCAGCATTGCAACAACCCTTTTTACACTGTCCTCTCCAGCCGGATTCCCCTGGAGTCCGGTGGTCACTGGATCCCTGTCCTTCCTGATCCCTGGCCTCCTATCAAAATGCACTTCCCTGGACGTTTTCTCTTCCTCTTCAATTCTCAATTCGGAATCTGCCCCCCTCTCACCTTGCCCCTGACTTCCGGACCCCAGGGCGGGAGCCAAGCATGGGCATCTCTGTATTCTGAGCCAGTCCAGGTCTGGCACGGCCGGGTAGGATCTAAGTCTCCCACAGCCGATGATCAAGATGGAAATGAATCCAGACTCCCATGTTTCCAGCTCTCTGACCTGT